GTACTGGTACCAAAACAGAGATATAGACCAATGGAACAGAACAGAGGCCTCGGAGGCAACACCGCACATCTACAACCATCCGATCTTTGACAAACCTGACAAAAACAGGCAATGGGGAAATGATTCCCTATTTAATAAATGGTGTTGGGAAAACTGGCTAGCCATGTGCAGAAAACAGAAATTGGACCCCTTCCTGACACCTTACACTAAAATTAACTCCAGATGGATTAAACACTTAAACATAAGACCTAACACCATAAAAACCCTAGAAGAAAATCTAGGCAAAACCATTCAGGACATAGGTGTGGGCAAGGACTTTATGACAAAAACACCAAAAGCATTGGCGACAAAAGCCAAAATAGACAAATGGGACCTAATCAAACTCCACAGCTTCTGCGCGGCAAAAGAAACCATCATTAGAGTGAATAGGCAACCAACAGAATGGGAAAAAATTTTTGCAATCTACCCACCTGACAAAGGGCTGATATCCAGAATCTACAAAGAACTAAAACAGATGTACAAGCAAAAAACAAACAAGCCCATTCAAAAGTGGGCGAAGGATATGAACAGACACTTTACAAAAGAAAACATACATGAGGCCAACAAACATGAAAAAATGCGCATCATCACTGGTTATTAGAGAAATGCAAATCAAAACTACATTGAGATACCACCTCATTCCATCATTAAAATGGCGATCATTAAAAAATCTGGAGACAACAGAAGCTGGAGAGGATGTGGAGAAATAGGAACACTTTTACACTGTTGGTGGGAGTGTAAATTAGTTCAATCATTGTGGAAGACAGTGTGGCAATTCCTCAAGGACCTAGAAATAGAAATTTCATTTGACTCAGCAATCCCATTAATCAGTATATATCCAAAGGATTACAAATTGTTCTACTATAAGGACACATGCACACGCATGTTCATTGCTGCACTCTTTACAATAGCAAAGACCTGGAACCAACCCAAATGCCCATTGATGATAGACTGAACAGGGAAAACGTGGCACATATACACCACGAAATATTATGCAGCAATCAAAAACGATGAGTTCGTGTCCTTTGTAGGGACATGGATGAACCTGGAAACGATCATTCTCAGCAAACTGACACAAGAACAGAAAATCAAACACCACAGGTTCTCACTCATAGGTGGGTGTTGAATAATGAGAACACGTGGACACAGGGAGGGGAGCATCACACACGGGTCTGTCCAGGGGAAATAGGGGAGGGACAGCAGTGGGTGGGGAGTTGGGGAGAGATAGCGTGGGGAGAAATGCCAGATATAGGTGATGGGGAGGAAGGCAGCAAATCACACTGCCATGTGTGTACCAATGCAACAATTTTGCATGTTCTTCACATGTACCCCAAAACCTAAAATGCAATAAAAACAAATAAACAAATAAAAAATATTCAAAAGTTATAAATCAAGCTCACAACCTGTTAAATAGATTCTGTTATTCTGTCTTGATAAATACATTTTCATAACAAGCTGAAAGTCCTGGTTCAAATTTAGAATTTGAAGACATTTTGGGCTTCTGTACCTGATTGTGCTGGTGTAAGAAAAGCTGGCCTTAGGCCCTAGCTGTGGCCTGTGATGATACCATGATTCAAAATAAGAAACATATACTGGGTCTTCTTCCTTTTCCTGCATAGAGCTTCTAAGCCCCTTGCAATTTCCTGGGTGATAGCAGTGTTTTTTACTAATGAGGCAGCTCTTTGTGGTCCCTAGATAGCTTAAGGATGGGGGTTGGATGATGAGGTACCATCCATGTGATTAGAGGTTTGGAATGTTTAGCCCCATCCCCTGACCTCCAGGCAGGAAAGGGCTAAATGTTGAGTTGATACCAATGGCCAGTGATTTATTCAATCATGCCTATATAATGAGGGCTCTATAAAGAGTCAGAAGGACAGTATTCAGAGAGCTTCCAGGCTGGGGAATGTGTGGACATGCTGGGAGGGCAGCATAGAGGGCATGGAAGCTGCATGCCCCTTACCACATACTTTGCCTGATGCATCTCTTTTATTTGGCTGTTCAGGAATTGTATCCTTTATGATAAATGGGTAATGTAAGTAAAGTGTTTCCATGAATTCTGTGAGCCATTCTAGCAAATGACTGAGACTAACAAGGAGGTCATAAGAACCTCTGGTTTATGGACAGTCTGCCAGAGCACAGGTGGCAACCTGGACTTGTGATTGGTAGTTGACATGGGGGCAGTCTTGTGGGACTGACCCCTTAACCTTTGGCATTTACACTGACTCCCACTAGATAGTGTCAGAAGTGAGTTTAATTCCCAGTTGGTTCCCATAGAGAATTGGAGAGTTGCTTAGTATGGGAGCAAAACAGCCTACATCTGGCATCAGACATGAAGTATTGAGAGTGGTGTAAGTATAGAAAAAAACAATTGGTTTCTCCTGTATATTTGGTGTTTTTTCCTTCTTACACTTCCCCTTTTTCACTTCACATCCAGCTCTGTCCAGGACAATAAAGGAAATTGCATGCATGTGTGTGTATAGACCAGCTTACACATCCAAGCTCTGTTCGCTAATCCCCATTCCTGCCAAAAAGTCACCTTTTAACTGTCTGTCCTTCCTGTGAGGGTGTGTACACAGAGGCATGGCTGCCTTCAGGAATGTAGGTCCTGGAAAGACCTGGAACTAGTTCAGGCTATTTGGGCTGGGAATTCTGGGGTCCCATTTATATGAAGCATGGTCTATAAGAGTGAGGTGTGTCTCCAGGTTAACATGTCCCTTGTGTACCTCTTGCACCAGAAATAAAGGCACAAGCCCACGGAGGGCCAGAGTAGGGCTCTCTAAAGTGTGGGACCCAGGACAAGAGCTCATCTCTCCTAGGTCTACAGGTGGTTCTGTCCTTGTGGGTAGGTGATTCCTCTACTTTTGAGGACAGGTTGAGCCAGAAAGGTATACTAATATTGAAAACCTTGAAGTCTAGTGGCCAACCCTTCTTGTCCCCTGCAGTGCAGCACACTGCCAAGTCAGCCATCACCATCAGAGGCCTTGGACACAAGTACTATGTTGGAGTAGGGCACGTGTCCCTATAAACACATTCTTCTAAACTTGGAGAGATAGTCCCCAAAGAACTTCAATTCCAGTATTGGTCTACTTCTTCTCCTAACCTTTGGTGACTCTTGCTACCTGCAACAATCCAGCAATATCACCTCTGACACTAGATGGAAGACTGTATTCCAAGGGTCAGACAACTTTTAATTTTGGCACTGCAACATTAGGGCTATTACCCAATCCCTGAGGCAGAGGGCTACTTTTTTTTAGATGAGTGAGGGTAGCAGTTGCCCCTGCTATCCATAGATATATATTATGTATTTTTTTTTTTTTTTTTTGAGATGGAGTCTCTCTCTGTCGCCTAGGCTGGAATGCAATGGCACAATCTCGGCTCATTCCAACATTTGCCTCCTGGGTTTAATACAGGCATGTGTCACCATGCCTGGCTAGTTTTTTTTTTTTTTTTTTTTTGAGATGAAGTTTTGCTCTTGTTGCCCAGGCTGGAGCGCAATGGTGTGATCTTGGGTAACTGCAACCTCCACCTCCCAGGTTCAAGTGATTCTCTTGCCTCAGCCTCCTGAGTAGCTAGGATTACAGGTCCCTGCCACCATGCCTGGCTAATTTGTGTGTGTGTGTGTGTGTGTTTTTTTAGTAGAGACGGAGTTTCATCATGTTGGCCAGGCTGGTCTTGAACTCCTGACCTCAGGTGATCCACCCGCCTCAGCCTCCCAAAGTATGGGGATTAAAGGTGTGAGCCATCGTGCCTGGACCATTCATTTATTTATAACAGTTTTGTTAAGGAAATTAAACTGAGGCCCAGGAATATTAAACAACTCACTTAAGGCCATAAAAGAAGGGGAAGAACTAGAAATAACTTTCAGAGCTGTCTGATTTCAAGGCTTGTGCTCTTTTCATCATCCACCAGCATCTACCACATCTAAGAGTTTTAAAGAAATTTAAAAAATCAAATTTGTGAAACTGCTGGCCAAAGTGTGTTATTCTTTGTAACTTTTCCATTCATTAGAATAGATCCTGAGACTTGTTTTTGAGAATCCAAAGTATTGTAAGGGATATAGCAAGAGGGGAACTGGAGCCAATTAGGGGCTGCATTTCTATAATGTGATCATGCAGCATTTTATCAAAATGTGGACTGTATGCTGGATAGCACTAGGGGATTAGTGAACTCATTTTACATTATTTAGTTCCAAAAAGCCACTAAGATGCTCATCAGAAAAGCACTGTCAAAAATGGAAATAGATAAATGTCACCTGTAAATCAATTAGAATTGATCGTGAAACATTTGGTCAGTTCTTATTGTTTGTTGTCCTATTTGTTTCTTTTTTTCTTTTCTTTCTTCTTTTTTTTCTTGGAGATAGGGTCTTGCTCTGTCTTCCAGGCTGGAGTGCAGTGGCACGATCTAGACTTGAGAGGGGAGACCCCCTCCCCATCTCCCTCCTCACAGGCCTCTTTGGCAAACTAAGAGCTACTATCGCGTTTACTGATAAGGGCTCTCTGTAGCTCGAACTGACTCAGGCAGGAATTATCATGGCTCTAACAGTCCCGAGGGAGGAGTGGAGACTCTTCCTGACTGAGCCCAGATGAGAACTAACCCCTGCGCTGGCCAAGGAATGGCCACCGGTTGGGGCAGAAGACAACCCCCCAGGGTTGGCAGTAAACCAAGCCCTGATGGTTATCTGGGTGATGTCTTTGTCTGACTGGGCACTATCAGTCCCAAGGGAAGCTCTTAACGGCATCCAGGTCCATCTCAGATGCCTGAAAGCTTATGTTATTATAGTTCCTTGCCAGTCTCCTTGGAACGCGGCTCTCCTGCCTGTTCCCAAGCCAGGGATTAAGGACTACAGACCCGTGCAGAATCTGCACTTGGTCAACCAGGCAACTGTGACCTTGCACCCCACAGTGCCCAATCTCTATACATTGCTAGGACTGTTGCCAGCTGAGACAAGCTGATTCACTTACTTAAACTTAAGGGATGCTTTCTTCAGTATTCAGTTAGCCCCTGAGAGCCAGAAACTGTTTGCCTTTCAGTGGGAAGATCCAGAATCAGGTGTAACCACACAGTACACCTGGACTCAGCTTCTACAGGGGTTCAAGAACTCCCCCACCATCTTCAGAGACGCATTGGCTCAGGATCTCCAGAGGTTCCCCGCCAAGGACCGAGGTTTCGTGCTGCTTCAGTACGTGGATGACTTTTGCTGGGGCTCCTGGCAGCAGCTGGATGTGCCCAGGGAACTGACTTGTTGCTCAGACACCTGGAGACCTGTGAACCCAAGGTCTCTAAAAAGAGGGCCCAGATTTGCCAACAACAGGCACGCTATCTGGGATTTACTATCCAGCAGGGGCAGCAAAGCCTAGGAATAGAAAGGAAGCAGGTTATTAGTAACCTCCAGTGCCAAAGACTCAAAGGCGGGTACGAGAATTCTTGGGGGCAGTAGGATTCTACAAGCTGTGGATTCCTAACTTTGCAGTTCTGGCTAAACTCCTGTATGAAGTCACAAATGGGGAGATGGAAAGCCGTTTGAGTGATGCTCAGAGCAGCAGTGGGCCTTCTCTCAGTTAAAAGAAAAACTGATGTCTGACTCGGCTCTGGGGTTGCCAGACCTGACAACACCCTTTACACTGTATGTGTCTGAGACAGAAAAAATAACAGTTGGGGTCCGGACTCAGACTGTGGGACCATGGCCTTGACCTGTGGTGTACTCGTCCAAAAAACTGGATGAAGCTTCCATGCTTAGAAGCATTAGCGGCCACTGCCCTACTGGCACAAGAGGCTGACAAGCCAACTGTGGGACAGAATTTAAAGATAAAAGCCCCCCATGCTGTGTTCACCTTAATAAACACGAAGGGCTTTCACTGGCTCACCAATGCCTGCTTGACTAAGTACCAGGGCTTACTGTGTGAGAATCATGGATAACCATAAAAGTTTGCAACACCCTAAGCCCAGCCACCTTACTCTCAGTGTCAGAGAACCCGGTGACACATAATTGCCTAGAAGTACTGACTCAGTTTATTCTAGTTGGCTGGATCTGTGGGACCAGCTATGGTCTCAGGCTGATTGGGAACTGTATGTGGACAGAAGCAGCTTTGTCAGCCCTCTAGGGAAAAGGTGTGCTGGATAGGCGGTAGTTACTCTGGACTCAACTCTAGAGGCCAAGCCATTACCTCAAGGCACCTCAGCACAGAAAATGGAGTTAATAGCCTGAACTCGTGCCTTGGAATTAAGTGAAGGGAAACTGTTAACATCTTTACTGACTCACAGTATGCATTCCTCACTCTCCAAGTACATGGGGCACTGTACAGGGAGAAGGGCCTACTTTGGGGGCTAAGAAATAAAGTACCAACAGGAAATTCTGCAGCTACTAGAAGCAGTATGGAAGCCCCGAAAAGTGGCAGTGGTGTACTGCTGAGAACATCGTGAACTTCCACCACAGTAGCCCAGGGAAATGCTCATTTAAATGCGAAGGCCCGGAGGGTTGCATCCATCCCACATTGGGCATCAGTTGCAGCCCCCCTACTGCCCCAGGTCCTGGACTTGGTGTCAGTTTACTCAGAGGAGGAGAAAGACTTCCTCCAAACTGAAGGCGGAAAGAAAACTGAGGAAGAATAAATATGCCTGCCAGATGGACAGGTAGCAGTACCACAAGTGCTAGAACCTGCAGTGCTCTTGGCTGTCCATGAAAGCTCCCACCTTGGTCAAGAAACCCTTGAAAAATTGTTAGGCCTGTATTTTTACATTTTTCCTTTATCTGCACGAGCAGAAACAGTAACACAACAGTGTGTTACATGCAAAGGGCATAATGCCAGACAAGGACCTACGGTTCCACCAGGAATCCAGGCTTATGGAAGCACTCCTTTTAAAGACTTGCAAGTGAACTTCACTGAGATACCTGAATATGTAGGTAATAGCTACCTGCTAGTTCTGGTATGTACTTACTCCGGGTGGGTAGAAGCCTATCCAACACGGACTAAGAAGGTCGGTGAAGTGACTCATGTTCTCTTAAAAAACATCATGCCTAGATTTGCACTGCCTTTGCAAGTAGGCTCAAACAATGGGCCTGCATTTGTAGCCAACCTGGTGCAGAGTACAGCAAGAATACTAGGAATCAGCTGGAAACTACATGCCGCCTACCAGCCTCAGAGTTCAGGCAGAGTGGAGCGAATGAACTGAACTATTAAGAATAGCTTAGGAAAAGTGTGCCATGAGATGGGTTAAAATGGGTACAGGTCCTTCCTATGGTTTTGTTTAAAATTAAATGTATACCTTCTAAAAAAACTGGATATTCCCCATATGAAATCCTATATCATAGGCCTCCCTGCTTCCTCTGGGAACTCCCAGAAACTCCCTAGGAATTAGAGGAAATTGAATTATATCAGCAGTTACAGGCTTTGGAAAAGGTGGTGGAGAAGATGTCTAAATGGGTTAATGAAAGATGTTCTGAAGCTTTTTCTCCCCATTTCACCCTTCTTCACCAGGTAACCAAGTTTGGATCAAGGACTGGAATGCGTCTCCCCTACAACTGAGATGGTAAGGACCTCGAACTATCATTTTAACCACTGCAACTGCTGTGAAGGTTGAGGGAGTTCCTGCGCGGGTCCATCATAGCTGTGTAAAACCTGCAGCACCAGACACCTGGGAAGTGAAGCCAAATCTCCATAACCATGCAAGATCACCTTAAGGAGAACTGAGACAACAAGCCCTGCTCCAGTCACACCCAGAATCTGACTCGTCTATGCACCTCCGAAGCATGAGGACTGCCCCCATGGCTTGTATCTTTGCTACCCCAGTAAATGTAAACTTCCCATCTGAGGATTGTTCCCAGTATATACACAATATCACTAAGGTAGGGCAAAAGGCTACCACAGTTCTCTTGTTTTACAGTTACTATGAATATACTGGAATCCTAAAAGGATGCAGCCCAGGAAATGACCAACCGAATATATGTTATAACCCATCTAAGCCTACCATGTCCACCATATTCAAGATAAGGTTAAGGACTAAATCCCTGGGTTGTCATTCTAATTCAGGGTAATATCCAGAAATGATCACCCCGCTGGTGTTTCAAACTTTTTATAATATATTAAATAAACCAGTTCCAGAATTCCCCCAGAAAGAACGAAACTTGATCTTTCAGTTAGTTGAGAATGTGGCCAAGACTTTAAAAGTGCATTTCTGCTATGTATGTGGAGGAACTACTATGGGGGACTGGTGGCCATCAAAACCACACAAGCATGTGCCTACTGACCCTGTCCCTAATATGACTTATGTGCAAAAAGGCCTAAGTAATAGCTTTTGAATTTTAAAAACCTCCATCATTGGACAATATTGTTTGACCAAAATAGAAAACGGTATGACAGTACTGATGAAAAAGCTGGACTGTAAGGAACATGACAAAACTAGCATATGCCTGTGCAGGTCTGGCATGGGTTCAACCCTGGATCAATGTTTGGAAATTGGTTTCCTGCTATAGGAGGACTCAAGATCATTGTAATAAGTGTGCTATTAATAGTAGGAGCATGCATATTGCTCTCTTGCTTAATGCCCTTGCCCCTTCAGGTGGTAAAAGAATTTATTACTACCACGGTTCAAGAAAAGACTTTGGTGCAGGCCTATTACATGAACCACTATGAATCTGTCTCACCGGAAAATCTTGACAGTAAGACTGAAGGTAAAAGTGAGAACTCTCACTAAAAAAATGGTAAGTAAGGTTCTCAAAGCGGGGAATGAGAGGGGAGACCGCCTCTTCATCTCTCTCCTTGCAGGCCTCCACCTCCTCCCTCTGGATGAGAAGAAGGGTAAAGAGAGATAAAATAACAAAGAACTGGAATCTGTGGTCAAGCAACTTGCTGACGCCACTGACCAGGCTATAATGAGGCCCAAGGACTGGGAGAATAACTCCCTTTTCGGTTCCCAGCATCTCTGCTATCTATAAGCCTTGAAAGAGTTACAAAGAATGTATCACTACTGGCTGGAGCCGGGTGCTGGGTCACATCCTCCATGTTTGCACAACACAGGCCCCTCCTGGAAATACCTCTGCCAACTAATAATTTAATGCCTTTGTCTTGTTTCTGTAAGCCCCCTCCCCTGCCTGTTCCTGAGCTGCATATGAACTAGCAAATCAATAAAGCTAAAGGTTGTGAGGTCAAATGTCCAGCCAGTGGACAATGACACAGTTTCACCTCTGCTCCCCCTTTAAAGTTGTAAGCCCTTAAGGGAAGGAGGCTGCTTCTTGGGGAGCTTGGTGGTCAAGGCATTAGCTTCCTGCTGCTCGAGGTCGAATGAAAAGCCACTTCCTTTCTCAGTTCGGTGTTCGAGAAGTTTGTTCCTTGCTGATCCTGCTACAGGCTTACTGTGGCCTCCACCTCCTGGCTTCAAGCAATTCTCCTGCCTCAGGCTCCCAAGTAGCTGGTATTACAGGTGCTTGCCACCACACATGGCTACTTTTTGTATTTTTAGTAGAGATGGGGTTTCACCATGTTGCCCAGGCTGGTCTCAAACTCCTGACCTCAAGCGATCTGCCCACCTTGGCCTCCCAAAGTGCTCTTTCTTTATTCCTATCATCCTGCTCAGGGCAGAATGTGTCCTTCTAAAGGGTAGGGCAGAAAGACTCCTGAGGTCTGGTTCTGTTGATGGTTTATATTGCTTATTATGAGTTTCAAAGATACACATCCTGTGTGAATAACAAAGACTTATTAAATTGCAAAATTTAAAATCATGGAACACAAAGCTTTTTTCACTACTTTTGTGCTACAACCCAGACACTATTAAGTAGAGATCTGAATTGCCTCACTAACTACTTTAAGAAGAGAATGAGGAGTAAGATAGGGAAGCGGGAAAGAAACCAAGCAAAGGTACAATTTCAGATGATGTCTGGCCTCAGGCTGATCCTATGGAGAGCTCTGGAGCATAAATTATGCCTTCAGGATTATCTATCTAGCTTTGAGGCAAATAAGTTGTGCTTTCATTCTCAGACACTAGTCAGACAATCGCTATGGTTCCCTTGGGACAATTCTAGGTTTCTGGGAATAATAGTGAAGTGGATTGATTGAAAGGAAACCAAACAGAAAGTGGGAGATGGGCCCCAGAGCTAATAAAAAAGGATCAGAGAAGCTGTGGGTGATGCACTGACAGTATCAGCTATGCCAGAGACTATTCTATAGTTTAATGCTTTCACTGTACTTCTGACTATTTCAATTAACAGGCAAAAGCTTCATTAGCAACCAGTAGTTGTGGAGGAAGAGACTCTCGGGGCTTTGAACTGTTAGAGTAGCCTGAGGAATTCAAACATTTTCCTTCCCAAGATTCTAGGGGAATCAGACTAGAAGGGGTTTCACCATGTTGGCCAGGCTGGTC